ATCTGGTGGTTACGTTATGCTAGAGACGTAAAGAATGTCTGAACTCACCAAGGTGTGTAGCAGAACAAATTGAAGGCAGGGAAACACAGCAAGGTGAACGGGTGGGAGTCTACCGGTTCGGACCGGTCTATACAACCGGTTGTTGGATTCTGCGCAGTTCGGAGACCCAGCGAATCGTGGCCCCGGCTGGCCCCTCCCCTCCCCGCCCAGTCAGTCCTTATTGCACATGCGCAGCATCACGCGCATGCCTGACACTGCTGGCTGCATTCTCCCCTGCCCAGTCACTCCTGGAGGTTTTTCCTCCCTCCCGGCCATCGGCTGTTCCTGTGATCAGCTGTGCCGGGATCCGCCCCCATTGCTGTTCTACTCCTTCGCCCAGGAGGCTTCCCCGAGGCCCAGGAGGCAAAAAAAAAAAAAAAAAAGGAGTGCGGGCGGGTGCCTGCAAAAAAAGCCACACCCACCCAGTCACATGGCCACACCCACCTAGCCACGCCCACCTAGCCACGCCCACAGAGCCAGTAGTGAAAATATTTGCATCCCATCCCTGGATAGTGCCATTGATAAATCCTTATTATAATCTGAAATTATAATTTAATGTTATACATAAAATAAACTAAATTTACACAGCGCATTAACCCAAAATCTGATTTGCTTAATTTAGTGGGATCTCTGAAACAGGGAAGTTATGGCTTAGCGTCCAGCCAATTGCGATTTGTTCTTTAAACCACGGTTAGCCAAGCTGAGCATGGTGTGAACTGTGCCCTGATGTGGCGTCTCTTCTGGAGGGCAGAGCGGTGGGCGGATGGCCTGTGGGGGCTGCTGCCTGCTGTCTTTATCTGCAGCCTTACAGGCAGGACCCCCATCGATCCTTGGGCTACAGCCGCATTTAAGAGAGGAAATCTCTGGTGGGAAGAAGAATGCTGAAATTTAATAAAGAATAATTCACAGGCAGAAGGAATAACGGGGAAACTAGTTCAGATGACGAAGCAAATCTAACTTAATTAGAAAAGAAAGTTAGGCGTATGGAACCAACCATTAAATCTGTGAATTCCCATCTGTACCTGTTGGGAGCACAGGGTCAAACTGCACGTTGCATGACAGGCTGCCGACTGGAGCCCTCTGGGTGAGGCCTTTGCTCTCTTGCTGCGAGTTCAAGGTCTTGCTCCATCTTCAAGGTGGAGGTGAAAAGCCCCTCCTGTTGGCAAGCCTGCCCCCCCCCCCCCACCAGGTCTATTATCCAGCTGCAGGTTGAACATTTAAGTCCTGAGAGCTTCTGACTTCAGGCATTGATTGTATCTAATTCCAGCACCAGCCCAGACTAAGTACAGTCATAATACGACTCAAACACTTTTTGAATCCTGGACTTATTAATTTATTAATGAGAAGGAGAAAAGAGAGAGAGAGAGAGAGAGAGAGAGAGAACACTCAGATCATGAAATCAGAAGAAATAAATAAATAGAATTGAGTGCATCATTTGCATATTAAATAAGTCAAATTCCCGTGTCTGATGCTGACAAGCCAAGAGGATTGCGATAGCCGAAACCTTGACCCCAAAGGGTTCCTGTACTGCAATCTCACGTCTTCCTATTCATGAATTAGTCCTCTTTCTTCTTCAGAAAGCTGAAGCCGGTCGCCGGGAAGACTTTTTGCCAGAAGACGGTTGTTGGGGATGATTGGGCGTGGTCTTAGGCCTTCAGTACAGGTGCAGAGGTTTGGGTATCTCTGCCCCAAAGTACCTGAAAGGCAACTGTTTTTAGCTAGGACCAACCTGATGGCAATTCAACTGATTCCTGTTTTTTGTAATTGTCACACCCCCACAAACATGCAAACATACAAACACGGCTTAGCTTGGTCACAGACCAGATTTCTTCAGTTAATGTTTCTAGGATCCCACAGAGGAAAGATGGAAAATAAATCACTGACGGGGATCTTGGAGAATCGGGGTCAATGATAGCAAACAGCCCAAGACTGGGGGAATCAATTCGAAGCAGGAAATCCACTCAGGCAGAGGGAAGATTTTCCAGCTCGCCTTCTTAGATTAATAGGTTGTCAGAACACGGAAACTCAAATATGCCTTGTATCCATTTGCCCTCAGTATGTCTCCTCTCTTTGCAAAACCTCTCCTTCACAGGCACGCTGCCAAGTTCTGCACGAGGCCCGTCAGTTACGTGGTCTCGGTCAGTGGTGTCTTTAGGATATTACATTGGAGCAGCTCTGAAGGACTGTGGCAGACAGCTGTGTCTATGCACGTGCAAGCAATCTCTCTCTCTCTCTCTCTCTCTCACACACACACACCCCTACCTATATGAAATCATCCAGGCCAAGGAGAAACGGAGAGAAAAACAGACTTACAAATAATAGAGGATTGTCTTTGGAGTCCTTTTTTTCCCCAGAATGTCCTTTTTTTATTAAAGCAACAGAAAATCCATCATGCGGAGTATTTCCTATTATTATACAGCGAATCTGCCAGGCAGCTTCTCCAGCTACTCTAGGCAGACTTTGTGATGGCCTCCAGTTTTGCACAGTCACTAGAGTGTCGCACCATGAATTATTAAATCAGTGCTTCGTGGTAATACATAATTTCTTATCAATTATTCATGCTAATGTGTGTGTAGTTTACTTAATTGTGTTATTGACGATCAAAAGTAATTTCCTGAAAATCCTCAAGGACAGAAAATTTAATCAGCATAACTACTTTTCAGATGCAATGCTGTTAAGTGTTCTTAATTTGCTCAACAGTTCACTTATTTATGTACCTTTCTGGTGGAAAAATGAGTTTAATCAAACCATTAGAATGAAAAGATAGTATATGTAATGGGCAAATTCACCTGAGTGATCAGTAATTATGTTGCAATGGAAGTGAAATTGCTTCTATTTGGCAAAGCCTTTTGATGGCAGAACTTTTGGGAAGAAAGAGGATAAAAACCAAGCATCTCGCGGTGATGATGGGATGATGGTGGAAAGAGGCCGCGTTCCTGTTCTTCCCGCACGGTTCACGCAGCTTCGTTGTCAGGAAGAGCTGCTCTTTCGTCGCTCTTCAGATAAATGCACCATGATGGCTGGAGGTGAAGAGGAGCCGGACGCCTGGATGCAGGCTAATGCAGGGAGCGGGTGAGAAGCTGTGTTTTCTGCCTCTTCTCTTTGGGGAATCAGAGAGACGAACAGAAAGGTCCGTCTGTATCAAGTGCACCGAGGAAAAATAACCCTTTTGTGGTTTGGGGATGGGGGAGGGGGGAGATAGGTGGCCCCATCCTCTGGAAAAAGACAGCACTGCAGGGTTGTTGGCCATCGTTCTAAAGGAGACAGCTCAGAATGGCGCTTCTGCTTTTGGGCCAGAGAAATGCTCTATGCACACGGTCAGTACATATTTGGTGCATGGGTTGGTACATATTCGGCCCTCTTCGGGTCACCAAGCTATTTGAGGAATACAGGTATCCTGTCAGTTGGTAAAACATCTCCATTATTTATAGAGTCTCTTCATCTCTGGTTTATCTATTCAGGGCTACAATGCATTCCACACGTGAAAGATGCCCCCAATAAGACACACTTCTGCTTCTTGTAAACGGCCACAGGGATTAGAAGGGTGCTAACTGTACTTGCGACGGAGAGCTGAGAGGCGAAGCCACCATAAGGGTTGCACTCTGTACACGTTGTACTCTGACAATAAAGGTAGCAATCAAATGAGGGCGACGTTGCCAGGGCAGAAGAAGAGAAGGCAGCCTTCGCATCAATGGACAATTCCTACAAAGAAGGTGTGTGTGTGTGTGTGTGTGTGTGTGTGTGTGTGTGTGTGTAAGCACAACTGGTTTCAGAAGACACCCAGAGAGGAATTAGGACAAGGCAGGAACTGGATCTGGAAAAACTGCTGTACCGCCACAGTGTCTAATCAGTCACTATCGTAATTCCTTCCACCTTTGGTTGGAAGTGATCGTTCCGGTGGCTTTTCTTCCTCCGGCTTGGAAGACAAGGAGGGGGATGTTCTCTTACGCCTCTCGATGTGATCCGGAGGCAGGTCTAGAGATGTTAGTGTGACATTTACCGTTTGCTGCAGCAAGAGTCAGACTGAATTGGAAAAGGGATTCTTGACATGGGAAGCGCACAAAGGGGACAAAGCAATCCCTCCTCATCAAAGGTGGGATCTGAGAACCAACTCATTGGCAAAACACTTTTGGTTGTAATCCTATAGACGTTTATCTGGAAGGAAACTCCACCGAATTCAGTGAAACTTATTTCTGGAAATGCATCTACAGAATTGTACTGCCAATGATCCAAAATTAGATATAATTTACATTCTGGCCTAAGCTGTTTGTTTTTCTAAGTGTGCAAACTTAAAAAAGGCCCCTCTACTCATGAAACCTTTCAAAAAGATTACACCATAAATGTGAGGGCTGGGGTCATTACCCAAACGCTCATTGGCCGGACACTTCCTAGATGCCACCGCTGATGCCCTGGTGGTTCTAATGGAAGCATCTCTCATCCCTCTCATGCAGACTCGGTGCGGTCCCTCCCTCCTGGGCACAGACAGTAATTCAGTATCATCGGTACAATAAGGCTGAGCCTATTAGCAGGTACGTGACCACTGCCCAAGTGCCCGAGTCAATCAGCACCTCCAGGCCTCCTGAACCAGGCTTAGCATGGTCTCATCACCTCAGGTTCTGCCATCGGAGATGCCAGCAGGTTTCTATGCAGTTTTTCTTAAGGAAGGAAGGGGCGCTATGTGTACAGGAGGCGTTGGGAGGCGTCCTTCCATTTTCCACCACAGGGAAGGTCCCCTCATCAAAATCCTCTTTCAACTGAGTTGCTAATGGCAGAAGATTGGCCGAGAGCAATAAGGAGCCTGAGGGAAGGGAAGCAGAGAGGGCCAAAACAAGTGTGAGCGCCTGCATCTTGCTAACTTGCAGCAACGGAGTCTTCTCCCAGGTACAGAACAGCCCAAGGAGTTGGACTTCAGTTTGGTTCTGGAGGGCGTGAGGGGTCCCCGTGGAGTGGAACGCGGGCTCTCAAACGCTCTCCTCGCTCTCCTTGTGCTCCATGGTCACGGGGGGCTTGTTGTCCAAGGCATTCTCGGAGGCCGACTTCGCCCCAGAGGCTGGGCTAGGGCTGCCGGGGGCCAGAAGGTTGGCGGACTGCAGGAGGGCTTCTGAGTGCTCCCGTGCCTTCATGCGCAGGGCTGCCACGCTAGCCGTGCGGTTGCTCTGACAGCCGTACGTGGGGAGGAAGGAGAGGCCCATGTGGTCAGGGACGCAGCAGGAGCACAGAGGGCTACCTGGGGGAGAGAAAAAGGTGAACAGACAAAGCCACCGAAGGACCACATGCCAGAGAGAGCCAGAGCGGACTCCACCCGCAGCACTCGTCTCAGCCCTACGAGCCAGAAAGCAGCAGCAGCACAACCCGGCCCAGTTCGGAGGCCCTTTCAGATAGAGGAGCCCCCGTCCAACAGAAACCGTGGCTCCAGTCCAGTGGGAGATCCTTGCAAAGCAGGGCCAGGATCCCCAGCTGCCACGGACACTTTGGGCCGTTTCCCTGAGACCACGGACTGTCCGGCAGGAGCCGTAAGGTCTGCATTACAGCGGCCCTGGGAATTTGCTCCTTTGCCCCCGTGGCCCAGGTACGGTCATCAGGCAACACCGGGCAGGAGGACATCCACTCGGACCTTATTACCCAAACTAAGGAAGGCCTTACTGGCCACGCAATCTGGCTCAACCGGGAGTTTTCCCCCTTTGTGCTGGATGCAGGAATCTGGAAGTCCACTTGCTCACCGGCTACAGATTGAGACAAGGGAAACAAGGGGCTAACCTGTCCAGAAGCAGCTGGGAAATGTTAAAAGGGGGGAAATGTTAATTTAAAATCAAAAACAACCAGTGTTCATAATAAACCTTTCATTCCTGAGTCCAAGATCTCTCCACTGAATTTCATTAGGACAGAAGTAAATAGTAAGAAGTAAGCAAGCCAATGTCTCACCGTAAGGAGAAATGTCTGAATGGTGAGAGCAGTCGACCAGGGGAAGAGCTTGCCTCCAGAGGTTCACGGGTGCTCCCAGGGGTAGGATTCAACCGGTGTTACCACTGGTTCGGTGACTATGTTTTGCGTGCACAGGTGCACTTCACGTGCGTGTAAAAGGCCTTAAGCTGTGCCACCAGGACAGCTGGAAAGTGCAGCGTGAGGATGCACAGCATTTGAAAAGCCTCTTTTTCCCTGCTTTTTCAACCTCAGCTCTGCCGTACAAAGTAGCTGAAGTTGAAAAAACAGGAAATAAAGGACAGGTAAGAGCCTTGGGGGGCGGGGGGGGGGGCAAACACCAGCAAACACAGAACCGGTTTGGTGTCCGCTGGTCTTCAGAGCTACCAGTTCTACAGAGCCGGGCAGAACCTGTAGCATCCCACCCCCCCGGGTGCCCCATCACTGGAGGCTTTCAAACAGAGACTGGGCAGCTCCTGCTCAAGCAGAGGGTGGACTAGAAGACCTCCTAGGGCCCTTCCAACTCTGTTATTCTATGTTCTATGTTCTGAGTTGCTGCTTCAGCCCCCCAACTCTCCAGTTTCTACAGGGGTAGCAAAAGGGCAGGAAGGGGAGTGACTTGCACGAGATCCCTAGATCTCTAGGGATCTGCCACCATGGATCACTAGGGCCCTGGTGGTGCAGTGGTTAGAGTGCAGAACTGCAGGCTACTTCTGCTGATCACCCGCTGCCAGCAGTTGGGCCGTTCGGGTCTCCCCAGACCCCAGGTTGGTTCCGCCTCCTGTCCTCCCGAGGTGGGGGGGGGGGCAAGAGCCTGACTCTGTAGACCACTTGGAGAGGGCTGGAAACCAGGGTGAAGCAGCCTATAAGTCTAAGTGCTATTGCTGTTGCTACCCCCCCCCCCCCCCCCCCCCAGTGCAGAGGGCCAGAGGGAGAGGATGGCAGCCCAAATGTTCATTTAACGTTTCGTTTGCTCTCTGAATAGAGGAACCGGTGAATTATGCCTCCGACTGGCCTAATGCATGTATTTTACTTTAAAACAACTCACATAAATAAACCATTGGAAAAGGGAGGGCTGACATTTCTATCCCCTGGGGAAGCATTACCACCAGGCACCAACCACATGAAGATGGTAAATGAATATATATATATTTCATTTACCATATACACGGTACCTATAAACACCGGCGTCCCCTGAGGTACGAGGGGCTGTCCTGAAGGCTTCGTGGAAGCATCAGCACGTGGTGAGCTGTGGTGTCTCTTCTAGCAATAACTTCTTCGCTTTGATGTAGACCTGAGGATCCCTTGATAGACATTTGTACCCATTACGGTGGAGCCCATAAATCTTGCCGGGTGAATTTAAAGCCCCTTTGTGGAGGGGGAGGGGGGGCACATGAGTTTTAAGGAGGCCTCAGAAAAACATTTCCAGAGTCCCCGAGAGAACAACCCCCAAGACGGGGAGTCTCGTCTGTCGCGGACTCTGAGGGACACAAAAGCTTTTGTTCTCTGGAGAAGAGCAGCAGCTCAGACTCCCCCCCCCCCCGCCCCCCCCGGGGGGGGGCTCCACGAAGGGAAGGCCAACACGGGATGTGGCCAATTTCATGGCCAGAGGCCCCTCGGCCTTCAGCCCCCATCTCCCTTTCGGCACTGACCGAGGGGGCCCTTCGGCTGGGGAACAAAGTCAACCTCCAACCTTGGGAAAGGGTCTCAAGCCAAAGACTTTGGCCTGGTCCCTCGCTCAGATTAGGCCCCGGATGAGATTAAGTCGCCCAAAGCACAGGCAACTTCTCCTGCAGCTTCACTGAGGGGTGCCGAAAGACCTCCTTCCACAACTTCCGGTCTCGGAAGGGCTGATCCTGGAGCTTTTCAGGGTCTCTTTTCCTGTCCCTCAGGTGCCCCCTGAGTCCCTGTCAGCAGACTCGTCTTGGCTAAATCAAAGGTGAAGCCATTTGTATCGGAGCTCCTGCAGCTGAGCACTAAATCCAGGGGGAGAAGAACTCTATGGCCCCCTCCCTCCCTCCCTCCCTCCCTCTCTCTGCTGGGGTGCTTTACGGATCGTTTAGGGTGGGGGTGAATGTCCAGTTTTCTGGGTGTGGCGTCAAGGTATGCGCCGGGAGGGGGGGCATGGCTGCCCTCCCTCTTGCTTTGAAGGAAGGGGGAACGTGGCCTTTGGTGCAGCCCAGGGAGGCCCAGGAATTCAAAAGTCAAGACGGTGGTCACAACTGTGCAACTGAGGCTCCTGCTCCAGGTACAAAGGGGCGGGGCTTCAATCACCAGGTTGTGGCTGCCATCCTGACCGCAAAGGGCTTTTTCCAAGGGGCAACTGGATTTCCGTGAGGGGTTTTTTGCCCCCTTTGAAAGCATCCTGCTTCTCATCCAAGGAGCGACACGCCTGCAAATCCCCAAGTGTGGAACGGGAAAAGGGCTCACGGGGCCCTGGGGCGTCTGAGCAGGCCTGGGAAACAAGCGGCCAGGTTGCCACCCCAGAGGAAAACGGGGTCGGGGGCGGTCTGAGTTTGGGAATCTATTCTATTGCTTCTAAGAAGTAGCACCCTTGAGCTGCCCTCCCGGCCCAGCCCTTGCTCTGAGCCATGGCTCCCCTGGGAGAGCCTGTCGGGGGGCGGGGGGGGGGCAGCAAAGCAGAAAGTCTCCCCCCCCACCTTCAAAACAATGGGGAAGACTCGGGTGGGGGGGCTCAGCAGTGGATCTGTGGGCCTCTGTCTTTGCCTCCTGCTGGAAAAGAGCGGCACTTGCTGGGCAGGGAATTGGCCCTTATTTTAATTTCCCACTGTTGATCAGCAAAATCAAGGGTTCTTTTCTATGAGCTAGCCCAGCAAACTTTTGTATTAATGCACAAACACTCTTGGGACTAAATGCTCTTGTAACTGCAGATTTTGTGTCTAGTTGCAGATTTAATTAAAAAAAAGACCTGTTAAGACCGTCAGAGAAAGAGCCTTCTAGAGATTCTGGGGCCTGAGCGGCACAAACCAGATCAACTCAGACAGACAGACCGGATCTTCAGCAATCCGAGTATTTACGATCTTTTGTCTGAATCTTGACTTAAACGACAAACTGGATGCATGAACAAAAGGAAGTTTAACCGGGGCCAGCCCAAAGGAGACCAGCAAGAAGAACAGAATAATTCCTGAGGTCTAGATGCTCTCTGGATGCCCTCTAGGCATTGAGGCAAAAGGCGGGGAGTTCTCCCACCCCTCAGTTCTGCTCTGTGGGAATAGCATCAGGGGCTCTGCGTCCTCACAATGCTGTACGTTAACTTCCATGGTGCAGGAGGGGATCCTGAAAAATGGGGAGGGGGTTCCTTTCAGTGCAGGGGGAGGGGAGAACAGGGGCGAGGAAAACAGCCGCACGAGGACACCCGTCACTTTCCCTGCTACTGCAACCATCCACTCCAGCGGCTCTGTGTTCCTCCCCCCCCCCCCAATCCAGCCCATCCGTGCGGATGACCCATCTGGACCGCAGCAGCCACCTGTCGCCTGCCCTCCCCTCCCCTGGGCATCGTAACGCGGGGTGGGCTGCCTCTTGGGTTGGCCCGATGGATAAGATTTCAGCCGCTTTCTCGGCGCTGCTTTTGAGCCCCCTCTAGAGCGGTGCACGAACTGGGACTTTTGTTTACATGCATTTGATACTCTCGAGAGTGGATTTCTGGTTGTAAAGCATGTTAATTGATTTGTTGCTTCACTTCAGAAAATTGTTAACATGGGACAAAAAATATATATAAGAAAATCATTAAGAAAATCAAATTCTACCACATGTTAGGCAAAGCCTAAGCAATGTTTGTATTTCATTTTTAAGTCCGGTGGGTTACTAAAATAATGCAATGAGTGCACCTCAACTGCCCTGAGAAGGTGCTACCACTGTAAGAAAACACGCCCAAAGGGACCTCCACACAAAAGACGCACTGAGAATAACAGCCTAACTTCGCTTTGTTACTATTGCCTTATAACCGATGGACTCACGGCTATCAACCCTTTGCCCATCCAGGCCAACTGAGACTTTGTTTGACTAAATGAAGAGAAGATGTAAGCACCAGCTTCAGTCATAGCCTTGCCACATGCAGCCTTCCTTGCTACGAATAAGGCAACAAGGCCGTCCGTTGGGTTCTTCTAGCTGACGTGCCACAGACACAACCCAAATCCAGTTTTATCCCAAATAGCCTCACCTCCTTCAAGGTGCTAGGACCTCTGACCCACAGACTCCTTTGCAAGTCAGCATGCCTTTTCCCATGCCCCCTCCTCCCCCACCAAGAGGTGCCCCTCCTAAACAGGTAGATCTTCTACCAAACTTCTCAACGCACCCAGGAACACTGGCAACCAAATGTATTTGCAGGCCCAGCCTCGTAACTGGGCCTCGGTTCACCCGTTCCAAGAATCTGCCATCTCCTATATTCTAAATTACAAATACACAATTAGTTTTCCATTAGGTTAGAGCAAATTCTGCAAAATTGATCTGGAGCACCTACTGTTGCTATATTACATCATGCTTGAAAGGCAGAGCTGGCACATAAATACTTAATGTAATAAATACAGTCTGAAATATTTGATCCACTTGACAGTTTAATTGATCTGCGACAGACAGACTGACAGGAAAAATTAAATTAGTCCTGCCTCATTTCTGCCAAAAGCACATTTTGACTCGAGGTACTTGAGTTATAGTTTGGTTCACAATAGATCCCATTTATACCGTTACTACTCAAGGAGGACGGGAGCCGCCCAGGCAGATCCGCTTCGGATTTGGAGAGGCATCTCACGGACACCCCATTTCTCCTTCCTCGGGGTTTGGGGCAGGGATGCAAAACTACAAGACAAGGGAACCCCTTTTCTGGGGCCCCCAAAGGGAAAAATTGGAAGGCTCGGGGGGGGGGCTTTAGGGGGCAAGAGGGGTGCTAAGAGCTTTAGAGGGGCAAGTTTTCTTAAAAGGGGTCTTCAGTGGTGATGATTTTGGGATCCCAGCCCCCTCGCGGTTCAGGAACCAAGGGGATTTCTGCACCTCTGGCTTAAAGCCATTTGGGATGAGGTGAGTGACAGGGGCTGGTCCTTCTGGGTCTACAATTTCCACGTGACGCACAAAGAGGCAGGAAGCAAACCGGCTCCCACCTATTTCACTGGGATTCCTAGTTAGCCAAACCCTGCCTTGTTCCCCAAGAGCGAACCGAATCCCAGGGGAGCCAGGCTGCTCCTGATCAGCGCTCGGGCCTCCTTAGGAAACGAAGCAGAATTCTTCAGAGGGAATAAGCTAAACCAGCGGGGACTGTGGAGTCCTTCGGCCCACAACTCTGGAGAAAGACAGGCGAGGACATCGGCAAAAGAGCCGGTGTTCACTTCAGATCCTAGTCGACCAGGATGCCTGGGGATTGTGAAGTGGAAGCCTTGCCCGCACAAACCTGCCAGTGATTGAATGTGACCTCTATTCTAAACGTTTTCTGAGCTGCTCCCTTCCAGTCAAGAGGACAAATTCCATTTCCCAAATCTGACTTCCCACCCAAGGTTGCCTCTTATTCCACCCAAGTGGGATATATTTTCTGCAGTGCTACATTAGGATCAACTCTGCTGCCCCTCCCCCGCCCTTCCTTTGGCTGAAGATCCAGAGTTCCAAGGATCTCACCCAGTCTCAGAAATCGGAATCTTCATCAAAAACTTTTTTTAAAAAAATTTCCCCGTTCTAGGATCCCTGGCTTTCTTGTTTCGTCTCCACCAGTGCCCAGCACCGAAGATGAAATGAAATGCAGTCAGGTTTTAAAGCCACTTGGGATATTACCGCGAGAATTAAACTGCAAAATGACAGCATATTCAATCAAACCCTTCCTGAATTTGCAGTCTGGCTCTGCAGCCATGGCTCAACCTACACTTCCTAAAGTATCATCAATATGGAAACGTGTTTTAGTTGTGTCAAAACCTTTTATAAAATTCATTATTATTACAATTATTTCTCTTTTAAAACTTTGAAATAAGGAAGTGAAATATTCCATACAAGTAAATTAGGGCAATATGTTTTTAAAACATGAAGTATATTATGCGCCTAACTCAACTAAAGCCTCCATGTCTATACTGGACTTCTCAGGGAAGGTCTGAAATGTACCATTTTATAGAAGGACAATATGGATGAGGGAATACTTAAACATACAATATCAGCTTGTTCAATTAATATTAAATAATTAATTTCAATTCAATTATTTTTTTGGTTTAATATTCATAAACATGTTTTTTGTGTTGCAAAGATGTGTGTATGTACTTTTGAATTACGTACTGAAAATCTGGAATGCATCGTTGTATGAAGAATGAATATCAAGCAAGGAGATAGCAGAGAAGGTAATTAGTCAAAGGTAGAAAGGATATTAAAACCTTCAATCTGGGTTTACAGAACGAAGAAGCAGACAATCAGCAAAGAACATTTAGTATATCAAGATTTGTAACACATTCTTTTTAAAAGTGGCTGAATGTTTTTTGCATTTTTCTTTTTTTCTTTTGCATCAAAAGAATAAATAAGGCAAAGAAGTTAAAAAACAAAAAGAGGGTAATTGCCAAATATACAAAATTTACCAAGTTAAAGAAATGCGGGTCAATATATAGGACTGGAAAGTATTGGACCAAAATGTATTCAATTATTTACTTAATTAAATACATGCATGTAAATAAAGGTATTCAATGTTTCATTAAAATTTAATTTTGTATTATAAATTTGATATAACATGTGTAAGTCAGGCTGATTTGAATGAAATTTTCCTGCCTGCGCTAAGCCAAGAGCTGCACAGCTGTTCAAACAGCTGGGTTGAAACAGGATGCTCGAAATCGAAGCAGCCACATGCTGGCTTAAGCGTGATGTAGGAAACCATCTTGTGGCTTACTATTTTTTACCATTTGCCTCCGTCTACGGCAGGATCAGCTAGCCAGGATAATTGACGTTCTCTGGCAAAGCAAACAGATGAGCCCCCACACTTCACTGTTTCCTCAAGCTGACCCAGCACTCCCCCTTCGCCTCCATCTCTGTCCTTTCCGTGGGACCCCTGAACGCGCACAAAACGGACCAAGACTGATGCAAAGGAACAACAGTCTCTGGCTGGAGAAAAGGGATCTGTCTCCGTAGCGATCAAAAATATAACGAAGACCTAAAGACGGCTTTGAACCAACGGGTGAGGAATTTGAATGAAAAGCACCTGGAACGCCTACAAGTTCATGAAACAACTTCCAGCATTAAATATTTGCTTTCTCTGACGGCATAAATTTGCCTTCAAGGAGGCGTCAGAAGGAAGGCGATAAAAAGAAGAAAAGGCCCTGCCTGGTTTTGCCCGCCCAAAATCCCTCGGAGGCCGTCCGGATGTTCCTGCCTGAAAAGAGCCAGATGAGTTGACAAATTCTATTAATCTGGGGTAATTCAGAGCCCCCCCCGCCCCCGGTCTTGTCCTCCTCCTCCTCCTCCTCCGAAGGACCCCGATCGAGCGTCCAGCCTCCCTTCTGCAATCCCAGCAGCTCCCAAGCCCTGAATGGCCCGGATCGATCCCCGTGGCTGCTTTGATGTATAATGCAAAAGCTACTTTCCCATCAATGGCGGAGGAGGAGGAGGAGGAGGAGGCGGCGGCTCTGTCTGGGCAGGAGCAGCCACGCAAAAGAGAGGGATCGGCTGTGGGGGTGTGTGGGCGGGGAGGGGGGGGAGAGGCCGGTGCAAGTCATGCCCTGAGCAAGGAATTCTGTTGCTCTGCCCCCCCC